GAGGCCATGCTGGTGGGGAGCATCTGATCGTAGCGGGCACCGGAAGAGTTCTGTGGCTGAACAGCCCTTGACAATTTGCACAGCCAGCCTCACACCCCTAATGGAAATTGAGGCACAAAAGGGTGAAGAAATAGATGCCTGTGGGTTTGGGATTTTTTTGAGCTTTATTGAGGTGTAATTTACATCCCATAAAATTCACTCATTTTAAGTGTACAATTGAGCGAGCTTTACTAAGTTCACACAGTCGTGCAATGATGCCCACGATCCAGATGCCCCGAATCATTCCCTCCTGCCTCTTTGCGGTCAAGCCTTGCTCCCAGCCCCAGACAACCCAGGCTCTACCTTCTGTCTCCATAATTTTGCTTTTTCTAGAAATCTCATATCAATGGGATCATAGTCTGTAGTCACAGTGGAATTTCAAGCCAGAATCTAACAAGGAAGCCAGAGAGCCAGGACAGTGAGCACACCTGCACCGAGGGCTTCCCCTACCTGCTGTGTCACCTTGTGGGCACCTTTGTCTCTGAACCTCAGTCTTCACATCTTTAAAATGAGGCTACAGGGGGCCAGCCCTGTGGCCGAGTGGTTAAGTTCATGCTCCGTTTCAACGGCCCAGGGTTTCGCCAGTTTGAATCCTGGGCGCCGACATGGCACCACTCATCAAGCCATGCTGACATGGCATCCCACATGCCACAACTAGAAGGACCCACAACTAAAAATACACAGCTATGTATCAGGGGGCTTTGGGGAGAAAAAGGAAAAATAAAATCTTAAAAAAAAAAATGAGGCTACAAACTAGTCTCCCTCTCAGGGTTGAAGTCAGGGTGAAATGAGGTCTCGTATCTTGCATATTCATAATACTCCATGGAAACCAGAAAGAGACCAAACACCCCACACAGGAAAATGGGTAAAGTACATGTCGGGTCCTCACTGCATGGGATATTCTCCAGCACGGGGAAGGAATGGACTCCAGTGACATGCAACACTGATGAATCTCACAAACATCATGTTGAGTGAAAGAAGGCAGGCACAAGGAGCACAAACTATATGATTCCATGAACATTAAGTTCAAAAACAGGCAAATGACATCTGCGCGGGGAGACATCAGAGTAGTGGTTACTCCTCTGGGCAGAGTGACAGGAGGGGTCCCATCCTGGAGGGGGACTGCTGGGGGTTAGTAATATTCCGTTCCTTGATCCAGGTGCTGGTTATGCAGGTGTATTCAGTGTGTGAAAATTCATTGAGCTACACCCTTGCACGTCAATAAAAATTCAGTTAAGGGTTGCATGGTGCTTGGCACATAGTAGGTAATCATGATGATTGTTATTCTCTCAGCTACATAGAGTTTCAACAGCAAAGTGTGTTCGAGTGTGGGGGTTGGCAAACTTTTTCTGTAAAGGGCCAGATGGTAAACACTTTTGACTTTGCAAGCCATACAGTCTCTGTAGCAACTACTCAACTCTGAGGTTGTATCGCAAAAGCAGCCAGGGGCCATATGTAAACTAACGGCCGTGGCTGTGTTTCGATAATACTTTTACAAAAACAGGCGGCGGGCCGGATGTGCTGACCCTCCGTCTGGTGGAAGAGGCTGGGTTCCAAAGCATCCTTCACTGAGTCCCTGCAGGCCCCTGCTCAGTTACTTCCCTGGCCTCAGTTTTCCTACCTGTAACATGGGGGGGCTGATCCCTGCCCTAAACTACCATTCAGGAGTTCAAATGAGGTCAAATGAGCTCATATCCCAGAGAGCCCTGAGGGAGAAAAGAGCAGGATTTGAGTCTCTTGAGATTCCTTAATGCAAAGCAGATTGTTATTTCTGCCAAAGTCTGAAGAGAGGAAGCCATTGACCCCAAGTCACCCCCTGCCTCCATGGGCACCAGTGCATCCCAGAGGAGACAGGACCCACAGGCCTGGCACCGCATCCTGGTCCTTGCCTCCCAGAAGCCTTTCCCCAAGAGCCTGTGGAGGGACAACAGTGGTGAAGGAGAGAGACTGGAAAAATGAGTCCCCAGGGGCCTGTTCCTCTGAGACCCGGGGACCAGAAGCTCCCTGCTTGGGTCTGCTTAGTAACTGAGCAGCCAGGGCCTGCGGTGGGGACGTGCTGTCAAGTCTCCAGCCCTTCCCTCAGCCAGGAGTGTCTTCCCTTCTGCCTGTTTCCTGGTGGGCTTCTACTCACCCCATAGGGCATGACTCAGGCCATGGCCTGTTTGGGGCACGCTGGGTGGATAACTCCTGTCGATCATTTGAGGGAGAGGCCAGTCTTCAGAGAGCAAAGTGGCAAGCCCAAAGCAGCTGGGGGTGGGGATTCTTGCCTTTCCCTGTGCCTCATTTTCTAGGAGCTGAACTTCTGGAGTCTGGATATATAATAGTAATAATAGCAGCTAACATTTATTGAGATCTACTATGTACAAGGCTTATCCCAAGCACTTTATATGTATTAATTCCTTTAATCCTCCTGACAACCTGAGTAGGCACTATCATTCTCCTCATTTTACAGATGAGGAAACAGGGGTCCAGAGAGGTTAAGATACTTACCTTAGATCACCCAGCTCTGAAGTGCTGGAGCTCTGAGGATTATAGAAGAGGCTGCTTCAGAAGTCCAAAACAGGTCCATGTTAACCTCTGTTTGTTCCCTTGTCCTCAGCTGTGAAACTTCCAAGTCCTTGTCACATGGAGCATGGAAAGGGCAGCAGTGTGGAAAGGGAGAGAGACACTCCCTCCAAGAGAATGACACCAACAGGAGTCAGAGCTCCCATGTGGGCAACCACCCCTCCTTCTGGATCTGTCCAGGAAACACTCGCAGTCCTGGCAGAAAGGGGTGGGAGGTTCCAGGGGGAAAGACTCAGTGAAAACTGACCTAAACCGTCAAGGGCATTGATGGGCTCACGAAATCAACAAGTTCAGGAGGGCTGGCTTCAGGGCCGGCTGGGGCTGCGGGCTCCAGCTCTGCTCTCAGGAAGCTCACACTCACCATCTGTCAACTCTTTCCTGCGCCCGCTCCATTCTCAGGCAGGCTCCTCCCCACACTGGAGCAAAGGTGGCCCAAGGCTCCAGTTTAACTCCAGCGAATACTCTAGCAGAACTCTTTCCCACAGTCCCTGCAAATATCTCAGGGCTGACTCTCACTGGGCCACATTGGGTCATGAGAGCATCCCTGACCCAATTGCTGTGGCCAGGGGAGAGCCTGGGGTGGGTCACACGGCCGCCTGAGAGTGACAGAGAGTGGGCGAGGGCGACCCCTACTGGAAGAAGAGGGGAATGCAACTGGCAAAGAGCTCTGTCTACTGAGCCTCTGGAGGGAAATATGCATGGGGGGCGAGGGGTGGGTAGACATGGCCTTTAGGGTCTGCACATCCCTTCTCAGCCCAACCCTGGACCTCCATCACACTTGTTGGCTTGGTCTGGACTTGGACCTGAGCTTTCTCTGCCTGCCTCTCCCACCTGACCCCACCCACTGGGCTGCAGCACTGATTGCCCTCACATCACCTGGGGGTACACGGGTCCTCTTGCGAACTCCTGACATCCTGCTTGACCTATTGTCCCAATCCCCTAGTTGTCCTTCCCCCACCTCCAGTCTGGCCTTTTCCAACCATGCCATTCACTGGCAGTACCATCCCCAGGCCAGCAGAGCCCTGGCTCAGAAAACCTCCAGCCACTCATTAGTGTCAAGGAGAAACGAGCCTCTTAGCCTCACACCTGGGCTTCCTCCACCATCCTAGGAGTCTCCCTGACCCCCGCCATCAACATGCACCTCTTCCCTAATTCCAAACTGTGCTGGGCATCCTGGTGCACCGGCTCACTTACCTGCCTAGAGGGAAAGGGTCAAATTTCAGTCAATGTTGCCCAGGGCCCAGCACACAGATGGTGCTCAACAAATGCCTGTAAAACCTACATTTCCAGCTCTCGTGCATGACTGCTCCTTGACGAAGGGAGAAATGAGAGAAGTCAGACAGCTCCACAGAGACAGACAGGGAGCTGAAAGAGACAGAGAAACCAGGAGGGACACAGAGGAAGTGAAACAGAATGACAGATCCAGGGAGGTGGAGGCAAGAGCAGCCAAGAGAAAGGGGGAGATCCAGAGAGACGAGTCTGGGAGAAGGGGACCTTCACCTGGAGACCCAGGAAACAGACACACGGGGAGGACAGAGGAGAGCGAGGGTGTGCCAGCTACAGCATTTTTTTGTTAAGCAAACAAGGCCCCTGTGATTTGTGTTTTGTCAAGCTGAACTTTCTATATCAGGAATTTATTTGGCTGAGCAACCAATCCTGGTAAAACACTGGAACACGTTTAAAAGGGTGGGGAGGAGAGTCAGACAGAACAAAAGGGCAAGAACATTTGCCTCTAGGTGGGTGAACAGAGTACGACTTGGCACAGGCATGGCCAAAACAATCATCTCACCCACTCCCCGGTGTAGGCAGCTCACCAGGCAGGCTTCAGGTGGAGGAGGAGGAAGGGAGACTGGACAGGGAAAGAGGAGAAAGTCCACTCGGGGGAGGGAGTCTGAGCCGAGGGAGAGAAGTGCTCAAGTTGCTGGGAGGGGAGAGGGCCCTGGGAAGCTTCTGGCTCTGGCCTGACCACAAGTCACTAGATGTCAAGACAGAGTAGCAATCCACCCGTGGGCGACCCCTCAGAGTCCCTGCCAGAGGCCAGAGCCTCCTAACGTCAGGGATGTGGCAAACTGATGTCCAGGTCAGGAACCCAGGCTGGGGGTCGGGTATGGCTTTTCAACAGGGGCTCTGACTGGCTACATGACTCGGGCAAGCGACAGGCCTGCTGCTACCTCACTCACACAAGGTGGCTGACAAGGCTGCCCGCAGCATCCAGCTGGTGCTTAATGACAGCAGCTATCATGACTGTGCAAGTCCCTGTGTGCAAGGAGCTTACAGTGTCCTTATAAAGCCAGGGCCACACAGCCGTGCAGGAGGGGCCAGAGCGGCCGGTGAGGGACACCCTCCCTAACAATCTGATTTTATGCTTTATTATAACGCTACGAAATCACATGGTGTTCATGATTTGAATTTTTTTATTTTCTGAAATGGAACCATTGTACATTGTACAAACCATATCTACCGATGGAATAAATAAGTGAAAAATTATACTGCTGTACAACACACCAAAAAAAAAAAAAAAATCAAGAGGAAAATAAATTCGGTAATGGTGAAAAAAGGTCTTTATACCTCTAACCAGGTCCTTGGCCATAACGAACATTCCAAACCATGACATCGTTTGTGATGGGAGGTCACCACCCTATGAGTCGGTCAACTGCCTTCCGGGTTATGGGTTAAGTGCCAGCACTTTGTGGAATGTGTAGCCGCAGCCTCCCCAACGTCAAGTTTTGCGGGGAGTGAGTTTGCCCCGGGAGCCCTTTCGGCCACGGGGCCAGTGTCCCCAGAAGGCATTCACTGGGCTCCTGCCCCTGGCTCGCCGGCTGGCGGTCTGAGATTCTGGGGTGGGGGGAGGGCGAGGGGCGCAGGGCAGGTGGGGCAGCGGCCCCGCGGGGCGGGCAGCGGCGGGGCGGGGAGCACAAGTGGATTTCTGCAGTAAATCATCCGTGTGGAAGGCCTTCCTGGCCAGCAGTGAGTGCAGGGCCGCTGGCGCGCTGCCTGGCATGGTGGTGGCGGGGCCCATTTGGTCCCAACCACTGGCCCATTCCTACCTTCAGGCACTTCAGAGAAAAACTAATGACAGCCTCGGCATCATGGATGGTGTCTTCATCCTTGACCGTGTTGACTCCCCTTGCCTGCCCAGAGAGGCCACCGCAAACAGAAAGGGCGCAGGGGACCCTGGCCACCTGCTGTTTCCGTGGACGAGTGTGTGTGGTTCTCCTTCAGCTGTCTTGGTTGCAACCTCTCGTTTCCCAAAAAGAAATGGAAATAAATATCCAAATTCATCTTTCATCAACATGGAGTTTTGCTGCAAAGGAAAAAGTTACTCTAACTACAGGATCTGGAGGTAACACCGCCTTGAGATACGCTGAGAGGTAACGCAGGACACAGTTCTCCACAGAACTGACCGCCTGAGGGGCAAAATTGATAAGGATTTTTTTTTTAAGACAGAAAGCTTTCGGCATCGCTAACTCCAACATTAAGATTTTCAAAGTTTTTTTTTTTTCTTTCCCTTATTTCAGGAGACATTTTTGCATGAGGTATTTGAAATTCAGGAACATTTTGAATTCTTCTTGAAGTGCAGGAAATAGATTGGCTCCCTTTAAAAAAATAAAGAGCCTCACCCTCAGAAACTCTTAGAAAATGGAATCTGGCAGACACTTCCCATGGTGGTCAGGAGAGAGATCCACACGTCAAAGGTGGTACCTGAATATGCACCAATTAGCCAAAAACAAAACAAAACAAACAAAACAAAAATCAACCGATAAAACCCGAAACCCGCCCCGCCCCCCACACACAACTCAAAGGGAGTTGGAACTCCAGTGCAGTAAAGAAAGCTCAGGAAAAAGGTTAAGGTCTGAGGAGTCCATACAGGAATTAAGAGCAAACCAGGCCTCAGAACCAAACAATTAGGCAGTTCGTACAAGGGGGCATCTCCATTTCAGCGAGAGGAAGCTGTCCCAGCACAGGCGGGCAATGGAGGTCGCGAGGGATCGCCCCTTTCTGGAGGAGTGCAAAGCTTTCCAGCTTCTTGGTGCCTTGTTTCTGGCCTTCAAGGCCAAACCCTCAAGGCCCCGATCCCCTGTGGGGACCGTCGGCACATCCTGGGAATGAGACCCGATCTAACTGTTGGCTCTGAGAGTCAGGAACAGTGCAGAAGCAAGTGGATTTCAGCCAACGGCCGTCTCGCCTCCCTGGGGCGGGGCTGGGGGCGCTGGGGGGCAGAGGATGGCAGGTTGCTGTGGATTTGAAATCCAAGCAACGTCCTACGAGAGAAGTTCAGCACCAGCTATTCCTGCCACCTGCTCCCAGCCTCCTCAGCCCTTTTACCGTCTGAAGGAGACAATCCTGCAGTCAGCCACAGAAGCCATTTTGTCTTCGGAGGTGTGAGAGAAAGCGGTATGGTGGAGGCAGAGGGTGGAAGTGCCAGAACCATCTAAGGGCTCTGTGTGTCTGTCTGGGCCGCTGTGGGCTTGGAAATACCAGCCTCAGATGCCCCGAGGAAGCGAGACCATACGGAGTGGCCAGCCCTTGGGGACAGTGCCCTGACATCTGAGACTCCCTGGACCCTGGAGGCTGGTGTTGCCCCCTACCCAGGGCTCAGGGTACGTGGAAGTCAGGCGGCCTCGGGCTCTCCTCCTCCCTGCCTGCTCCGCTCCGCTCAAAGGTCCTGGGGCAGGGAGGGCAGGAGGACGGTGACAGCGCCCACCGGAACAAAACCGAGAGGGCACTTGGCAAAGGGAGATGCAAAACAACCAGGAAAACGTGCCAGAGGTCACCTCAAGGGCACAAGGCACAAAAAAAGAAAGCGGAAGGAATCGGTTGAACAGTGAAGAGCCCCGACGAAAAGCAGATTCCTGATGGGTACCACCCTCAAATAGCTTATATCGTTAAATAGAGAAGTGGAAAAAAAACAATACAGCAGCAACACAAATGAAATCTTGGCTTCAGAGACAGTGTGCAGACACTCCTGAGCTGTCGGCCCCGCTTCCCAAGGACAGTCACTTCCAGACTCGAGTGTTTTGCTTCACAGCAGAAAGTTCTTCAGTGTCTGAGAAGTCACGCCGTTCTAGGTTTTCTTGGATTTGCACTTGGTAAACGTGAAAAGTTAGTAGTTCTGTCTGCACCCGAGAGGAGGCGCTCGGGTGAAGTTGTTCTAGAATGAAGCCTGCTGATGTATCTCCCGTGAAACGTGGGTCGGAGGACTGACCTCAGCGTCTACATGTCCTCGGAGCTCTGTTGCGAAGCCTCCAGTTTCATCTTTTTAGAGGGCGGCACTCCTTCCAAATCCTGGGGGGCAGAGAAAAGAGGAACGCAGGTTAACAGGCCAGGAGGGCCATGGAGGCCAGCCGTGCGGTGACCGTCAGCCTGGGAAGGAACCGTGGGAGGGACCCCGCGGCCCGAGCGTGGACTCCAGGAGGTTCTCGGACCTACGGGGAGCCTCAAACCCAAACTGCTCCTGTGTCCATGCAGCCCCGTGTCACCCGGGCCCCACCTGTCCCTGCCACACCAGCTCCCTTCCAGGTCTCCCCGACATTGCCCTCTGGACCTCTAAGCCCTCCCTCCCTGCACCCGCCCAGCCTGGAGCAGGTGTCCCCATTATCGATCTTCCAATCTGTAATTAATTGCGAGGGTAATCGCAGTGGGGTACAAGTTTCCAGTTTTCCTCTCTGAGCTCTAAAGCCGTCTCCTGAAGGCCCAGACCAACTTGGTCAGCACGGGAAATGTCCTCCAGGGCTCCGCGCAGGTGCCTGGCCTGGGCAGACGCTCAGCACGTGCCGAAGGTGCAATGCGCATGTTATTCTGGGGAAAGGGTCTGCAGTGGTCACCACATTCCCAAGAAGTCCCATGACTCAAAAAAGAGGTTCACCACTCACTCCGCCACCTCTCCCTTGACCTTCCCACCTGATCGCCTCGGCATCTTGGACCTAACCCATGGCGCCGCCACCAGCCTGGGGTAAAGCTGGGCAGTACCTGGAGCCCCTTGCTCCCGCTCCCACACCCAACCTAACAGCAAGTCCGTCAACTTCGTCTGCGAATACCCTTGAGCCAGCCCACCTCCCCCTCGGCCCACCGCCCCATCCACACAGCCCTCAACAGAGCCCAAGCCATTTCCCCAAAGGAGAAATCATTTACAGAACACAAAACCTGCCAACACTTTCCAGCTGACTTCAGAACAAAATCCCAACTCCTCACCAGGCGAGAAGGCCCCCGTGCCCACTCTCTCTACCTCTCTGCCCTGATGGCTAGGCTCCAGCCACCTGGCCTCCCCTTCTGCTCCTCAGGCTGGCTCCCGTCCCCAGGCTGGGCACCTCTGGCTCCCTCGGCCTGGAAAGCCTGCAGTCCCAAACCTGACATCTCTTCCTTCAAGTTCCTGCTTGCAGCCCCTTCCTCCCCGCAGACGTGACCCAGCAGAGCGCTCCACTCCTGTGGGCTTCGTTGCATGCCTGTTCTGGGTCTCCTGCGGCTCCTGCTGTGACGTCGTAATCTGCTGTGTCTGCTGTACCCTGGCTGTGTCTCTGCCCCCTCTGACCCTATCACAAGCCCCATGAGGGCAGGGGGGACCTCGTCTGCTGATTCACCGAGGGGTCCCTAGTATCCAGCATAGCGCCCAGTACACAGTGGGTGCCCAATAAATGTTCAAGAGAGACCCCGGGCCTTGATGTAGGATGGTGCGAGTTTTCCGTGGCAGACCCCGAGGGCAGGTCTGGCAGGGAGTGCTGCCTGTCTCTCCTCCCCCTTGTTCTTATAATGCAAGCGATGCAAGCTCAACAGACGTGACAAGAGACAGTGGGCCACCTGCCTGCCGAGGAAGGTGGACCCTGTTCAGGAGGGGGTCCTTGGCTTGCAGGGCACTTGGATGGGGGGACACGATGTGGGCCTGGGAGTGGAAGCTGGAGAGAGGTGAACTGCTCTGCGTAAGGCACGGAGCAGGAGGGAGAGAGGGAGGGAGGGACGTGGGAATGAAGGAGAGACCTGTGCACTCAGGACAGACGAGCAGGGAGACGGGACACAGGAAACCTCCTGATACTGGGGAACGGGACCTTTTCTTCCTTTTTAAACAGGGATGGCCGAACTTCAGTGTCAAACTGTTCATTGACTGCAACGCATCCTCCATCTTGCTCACAAACCCAGCAGCTCTGTAGATGAGCGTGCGTGTCTGTGTGTGCATGAAAACGACGGAGGAGGCCCAATTTCAGGCTGGGTCCCCTGGAAGCAGGAATCAGAGGTGGGGGGATGCGAGAACGACCGTTTCAGATGTCAAGGGCAGAGCATTAGATGCCCCCAGGGTGTGGATCAAAGTTTCAAGCTGACCTTTCCTCTGCTGAGTTCAGGAGGCCAGGAGACCCCAGCTGACATCTTGGTTTTATAAACTATACCCGAGGCTTTGATTTTTATTTTTAATCAAATGGACTCATGCTATGCCTGAAGCTCTGGGACTCGCTTTCTCATTTCACATTGCAAGAATATTTCTTTACTCTCCGTCTGTACTTGGGTAAACCACACTCTTTATAGCCACACACTAGTCTGTTTTATACACCGCCCCAGATTCAGTTAACCAGTTCCCTTTCGACAAACTTAGGTTGTGGGCGATTTCCTGCCACTGCAAACATCTTTCCTCAATGCTCCCTCTGAGTCATGGGACCTTTGGAGGAATGTTCCGTGGATGAGGGGAGCTGCGGGTCCACAGGTAGACATACGTCAAAGTCTGAGAGACACTCCCCCTTGGGACGGCCTGGCTCAAGGCTCCACAAAGTGCAAAACAAGTCCTGCTGTGTCCTGCCCCTTCTCTTCTTTCTGCTGCTACTTGACAGTTTCTCCTGAAAATACTCAGCAAAATGGGAACAGTTTTATTAGTTGAAGTCTTGAGACCTCTGAGGCCCCACTCCTCTTTGATGAGCACAGAGGGCTGACACGGAAACATCACAGTGGTGGCCGAGGCAACACTGGGGCATCTTGTGTGTCCAGCTCCACACTAAGTGTGCTCCCCACATTCTCTCGTCTCATCCGCACCGGGCCCCAAGACAGTTCTGTGATCCCACTTTGGCAGCTGCAGACAGGGGGGCTCAGTGTATGCTAAGTGAAGGAGCTGGGATTCGAACCTGGGACATTTGTTCCTATCCACTGGGTCATTTACTTCTGCACTGTCTGATTCAGACCAGATTCTGACAAACAGTGATCACCCAGAAAGGTGCCCAAGCACGGGAGCATGGTCAGCTGCAAAATTCCAATGGGAGATTCACCCAGCAGTTAGGTTTCTGAAGACCTGTCTTCCCAGCTCTAAGGGGAGCTGACTTTGGGTCACTGAGACCACGCAATGCTTTTGTGGACCTGAATAAACAAAGCGATGAAGCTGAGGCTGGGATAAAGGACCCTTCCTCTTCCTACACCCTCCCCGAGGGCCGGGCCCATGTGTCTGGTCCTTCACTGTAACCCCAGCACCCAGGACAGGATGCAGAAGGACACTCATGAGTCCTGCTCAATGAACACACGAAAGTGCCAATCATCCAACGAGAAAACAACAAAACAAAATAACAGAACACCTTTCAACGTACCCCCGACACCCCAGCGGGCTCCCGGCCGATCTGGCTGCCCCTCTGAGACCTCGATCGAGGTACCTGAGAGATTGTGGACGTCTCTGCAGCTAGCCCCGCGTCTCCAGATGGCTGCCGTTCGACTTTTTCTGAACTGTTCATCGAGTTTTCCATTGAAGACTGTGAATTCTGCTCATCAGAAGCATCTGAGGGAAAAGCAAGACGACAGAAGCTGTTTTCAGACACATGAGATGCGGAGCCAGATGGACCAATTACTAAAAATACCTGGAACTGGGTAGTTTTGTGGCCAGGCGGTCTGTCAGGGCTGCAATGAGCTGGGGGGCTTGGGAAGCCTCTTTCTTAGTTTTTAGGGATGTCGTTTTAAGCAGCCAGGCCACACGCGGGCCCTGGGGCCTCCAACCTTTCCCTGCACGCCCATTACTGCCCATTACCTGCCAAGCGCCCTGAGAGGACATCTAAAGGATGCTACGGGCTTTGCGCTGCGTGCACCTGGCGCCCTCTGGTGGACACAACGCGCTCCAACCATCATGGCTGCTGACTCCTCCCTCTTCCATTACAGAGCGCGCATTCTCCACCTGGGGAACCCGCAGCCGCTACCCGCCCCCGTGTAAACATTTCTTTCAATAATATGGGTATTTTTCTGATCGTCAGAGCAATGCCTGATCATTGCACGAAACAGAAAATACAGAAAAAAATTAAGCAAAAATCACCGATTATTTCACACCACCCACAGTGACCACCACGCTTACATTTTAGAGGATTTATTCCCATCTTTCCAGATGTTTTCCCCCTACATGCATATAATTCTCCGCTCTCCGAAAACAGGGATCACACAGTATTTTAGAAGAATTTGTCTTGTCTTTAAAAATTCTCTGAATACAGGAGCATGCAAGATGGCTGCACGGCATTCTATCAACAATCACTCAGCGAATCCGGTTTCGCCAGATATTTGGGCTCTCTCTTATGCCTCAGTCTCCCTGGTCCACCCACCACGCTCCTTCAGCAGAAGGAAGGTGCAGGCCCTAGCTGGCTGTATGAGGGGGGGCGGCTTTGGAAGTGAGGAGCCGTGGCTGTCCTGAAGCTTCTTTTGGGCACAGAGCCGGGGAGCTCATAGAGAGGGCAGGAACATCCCCCCCAGGGCTCCGCTCCACTTGCTCTCAAGGCCCCAGCAAAATATGTCACCCTGATTTTTAAAAAGTGCACTAAAATACTCAAGAATGCCTTACTTTCTGGGGTTTCTGAGGCAGTGGAGTAACAAAGGGGAAAAAAAATCCAGGCTTAAGCTGTAAAGTGAGCAAGCAATATGGGGAAATGGGAAAAGTTGGCAGCCCTCCAGGGCCTGAGGCAAGAGGGGAGCAGGGGGCTGAGGAGCAGGGCAGAAGGAGCTGCAGGACCCTCCTCCCAAGGAGGCTGACCTCCCAGCCCATGCACCCAGGTGGGCAGCCCTGATCTCTCGTGGGCGGGCAGTGCCAGGAGACCTGACTCCCCACCAAGGTCTGAGCTGGGTTTTCCTGCTGCCACGGGGAGGGTCAGGGGTTTGCCCTCACCAGGGCTGCGCTCCACCTACAAGCTGGTGTCTGGAAAGACACAGGGTTTAGAGACAGATCTGGGTTCCAATACTGCCCTTGCCTCTCGTTTCCTTTGGGCTGGGGTGCTCAGTCTCCAATCCCCTGGCCCCTGAAAAAACCAAGGTTGACAATAGCCACCCTGTTGAGTCACTGTGAAGAATAAATGAAATGAGAGGGAAAGTACCCAAGGAGCAAAATAACCCCAGGCGAGAGTAACTGAGGGGTTATCTGGGGCAGAGAACCAAACTCCCCAAAACCCGACATTTCTTTCATATTTTTAGTTTTACCTTTAAAACCCATGTTAACGGCAGTTCCTCAAAAAGTTAAATACAGAATTACCGCACGACCCGGCAATTCCACTCCAAGGTACAGACACAAAAAAACTGAAAACAGGTCCTCAAACTACTACTTGTACACAAATGTTCACAGCAGCACCATCTGCAACAGCCAGAAGATGGAAACAGCCCAAAGGTAAAGGAACAGACAGATGGATAAACAACTGTGGTAATCCCGTCAGTAAAATACTACTCAGCCATGAAAAGGAATGGAGCACTGACCCATGCTACAACATGCATGAACCTTGAAACTATTGCACTAAGCTAAAGAACCCTGACACAAAAGGCCACATATTGTGTGATCCCTGTAAAGCTAATCCGTACAGACAGAAAGCAGATTGGTGGTTGTCAGGGGCTGGAGGGAGGGGATGGGGAATGAGTGCAAAAGGGCATGGGGTTTCCTTTTTGGGTGATGAGAATGTTCTGGAACTAGATACAGGTGGTAATTGCACAATATCGTGAATGGACTAAATGCCACTGAACTGTGTACTTTAAAATGGTTACTTTCATGTTATGTGAATTTCACCTCAATACAAAAAATCCATGTATGTGTTTGCTTTAACAAACATTTTTGACTGCTATTGTCTTCCTTCTCTCTGACCAGTTCCCTTTCTGCCCCACAGCGTGGGCTCTGTGGAGTGGAGAGGGAGGTCGGGGTCCCAGACGGAGGCTCAGAAATCATGAAGGTGGCTGGTGACCCAGAGTCACGCTGACCCCTTGCCCAGCTGGAGAGCTCAGTGGGAACTGGTCCTGAAGCTGGTGGGGCGTTCAAGGGCTCAGCGTGGCGGCCTGATTCTCTCGGCTCAACGGTACTGGAACTTACCCAGGGGAAATTATTTTCCTGGGGCCTAAATTTAGTCCAAGGAGTTTGGACATTACGTCATTCTTGAACTCGCTCAGCAGTAAACAAGTTCAAAGCAAGGTCAACAGCTGGCAACCAACGCGCCCTGTCCCGGCAGGCAGTCTGCACCCACCTGCACAGGCTGTGGGGTCTGCCTCCATGCCCTTCCCACAGGGGCTCAGACAGCCCCCAGCAATAGGCATGTGGGCCTGGCCCACTGTGGGGGTCCCGCCTGAGCAATGCTGGGCAACTGTGCAGACCCAGTGGCCTGGTGGAGCTGGAAGAGGACCCTGGTATGGTGCCCACCTGGACTTGTAAAGCTTGCAGTGGCTGGGGTGGGCAGGGGGTCATAGTCACCAAAATGGGGCAGTTATGGACTCATTAACCCAAGACAAATCCTGCAGCTGAGCTTTAAGTGGCCCTTTAGGGCAAAGGAGATGCAGACCCCAAATGTGGCAGAAACGAGGCCACGGCCAGAAAGAAAGTAGGATGGGAAAGAAGCCAGGACGTGGCCCTTGCCTGGTCCTGCACAACCCCTGCACCCAGTGTCCCCATGACTCCCCTTACAGGAGGGGGGAGAAGGCAGCTCCCACGCTCACCAGGCCCTTCCTACCCACAGTCTTGGGCTGAGCATTTCACTTCCTTTCCTGGTTCATTCACGCCTCGCAATGACCTGACACGAGGCAACTTTTATTTGTCTCATTTTATAAACAAGGAAACAGGAAGGCGTGCAGAAGGTGACGCTGCCAGCCCAAGGCCATGCAGCTAGCAAGCGTCGGCCCAGAGGTGACCAGCTCCGGTCCCAGCCCCCTGGCTTCACTGCCTGTCTGCAAAGCCACCTTCCCAGGACGGTGCAGGGGGCTACTGTGGGGGGACGAGAGGGGATCTGACATGCTGTACATGGCAGGAGGCTAGGCAAAGCCATTAGGACAGTGGTTCTCAACTGGGGGCGGTTTTGCCCCCTCCTCCCATTTGGCGCTGTCTGGAACATCTTCGGTGTCACAACTAGGCGCGGGGCTGTGCTACTGGCATCTAGTGGGAAGAAGCCAGGCATGTTTCTCCACATCCCACCGTGCCCAGGACAGCCCCCACAGCCAGGACTCACTCGCAAATGATTCTGGTAGCACCGAGGCTGAAAGACCCTGCTCTGGGGGAAAGCCACTCTACCCACCGCCTCTCTGGAGAAAACTCGGCAGGGCCTACCGACACTTTAACTGCCCGTAACCTCTGACTGAACAGTTCCACTTCCAGGGCTGTGTCCTACAGCGCCACTCACACCGGAGCAAAGATGCAGAGAGACATGTGCACAAGACTCCCTGTGTGTGCGAGAAAAAGACGGAAACGACCCCATGCCCATCAAGGTGGGGACTATTTGAACTATGACACACTCATATCAGTGAAAGATAAGCCAGTAAAGAGAATAAAACACACCTTAAGTCCTAATGCAGAAGAATCTCCAAGGTGATTAAGTGAGAGATTCTAAAAAGGGAGGCTATAGTCCCACACAGATGCTCCTAGGTGCACAGACTGCCTCTGGAGGGCTGCAAAACAGACTCGGCCGTGATCCTCCCTGAGGACGGGGAGGACTCTTGGGGGGGCTCGCTTCAGTCTGCATCCTAATGTCTGAATTGTTCCCATGTGTACCGTTACCTGCATCCCACCCCCAGGGCCTAGCCGGGACACGGGCACCTTCCTTACCTGGCTCGGAAAGGATGTCACACTGAGGACACGAGCCCCGCACACCCGGCTGGCTCACTCCTTCCTCGCACATCCTCAGGCACTGCCCCTTGGTCCGTTCGGCCTGGACTGCATGACCCCCTTCTAAGCCCTGCTTATCCTTCAGGCTCAAATCAGACAGCACCTCCTCCAGGAAGCCTTCCCCGAGGCCCTCTCGCTCCCTTTCCTTTCTGTGTCTATCATAGCACTGACCACGAACTCACAAGCCCCCTTAGGGGCCAGGAAGTGCCATGAATGAGTCAAGTGAGCTGTTTAATTCAGACACAGATAAGCTTTGCAAAGAAAATCTAAGGAATAGTCTCCTCTTCCTCAAAGAAATGTGCATTTCCTCAGCCTCTCTGCCTTTTACTATTCTATTGGTAGAGAAGTATGTTCAAGAAACATCTTAATTTTCCTTTTAAATCTACAATAAGAAAACCAATAGTGATCACAGGGTAATACACAGCAATTGTCTTTGGCCTCATGGTGGGGGACAATAGGGAGTGGTGGGGAGTGTGGTAACCGGTGAATGCAGGTCCTCTGGTCCTCCCTGGAGAGGCAACTACGTCTCTGTTCTAGCTCGTTGGTGCTCCATGGAAAGGCAGATCCAGTATTGCCAGATCTTCTTCTTTTTCAAGAGAAGCTGGAAATCAATCTTATTTTAAGCGAAATTGCTCAATTTTTAAGTTTTGACATCCAATTCCAATTAAAAACAAAAATACCACTGGGTTCTGTGGTCACACCTGCACACCACACACTGGACCTAGTCTGTCTGTGCCCTCTGTAGACTGTAATTCTCAGTTTTGATGTTTTTCTCTCCCTATGGGTTCTTCAGGGTCAGGAGGCAGGACTCAGCTGTGACGGAGGCCCAGGACCAGCAGAGAACCTCACATGGGGCTGCTGTGGGTAATGTGTGTCAAAGGGAATGGAACGGGATGTGAACGAACCCCACAGCATCCATGGCCTTTCTCCCGAAGAGACGCATGCCTGCCCCAAGTACCAGGAGCCCCACCTCCAGGCCAGCTGCCCCCTGCACTGGGTGAGCAGCACATCAGCCTGGACCTCTCCCCTGCCCTCTTCGCTCCTGTAACAGATGATGGCAAGGCTGACCCTCGAGGTGCCGGGAGTCACCTGCGAGTCCCCTCTCTCAGCCCACGTACCACCCATCAACACATCACTCTGACCTTCGAAATATTAGACAATCGGAAGCTATCATTCATTTTCTTAGGTGCGATAATGATATTTGTGATTAAGCAAGAGGACGTCCTTATTTTCAAAGGCGCATGCCGAATGGTTTAGGAATCCAACGTCATAAGGTCGACAACTTACTTCCAAATGGCGCCAGAAAATATTTACAGACAAAAAAAAAAAATTAACGATTGCCGAATTTGGCTGGTAGGTATACAGGAGAGTATTATACTATTCTTTCAAATTTTCTGTATATTTGAAATTTTTCATTTAAAGAGAATCAGGAGACCTCAAAATACACAAACATTTCTACACACACATATGTGTACACACACACACACGTCCTCCACAATCAGACCTCTCCTTACCTCTTCCTCTGCCCACCACCAGTGCGGCCACCATCCTCTCCCACCTGGACCCGCCCCTTCACTGGTCGCCTGCCTCCACCCTGGTGCCCCTATTATCTGTTCTCAATCACAGCAACCACAGTGATCCTTCAGATCACAGCACTCGAACTCCCAATGGCTCCTGTCTCACTCAGCAGAAAAGCCGGTGTCTGCGAGGTGGCCTTACGAGCCCCCCACACTGGAGGCCCCACTTCCTCTACAACATCTCAATTTTTGAGCCCCTCACCCACTGTTCTCCAGCCACACTCAGAACGTCCCTGCCCCAGGGCTTTTGCACTGCCTATCTACTCTGCCCAGAATGCTCTTCTCCCAGTTATTCACATGGCTTGCTTCCTTGCCCAAGGTGAGCCACATCTGATCTAATGTCACCTTCTCAGTGAGGTCTTCCCTTACCACTCTATTTAAAGTCACAACATGGGGCTGGCCTGGTGGCGCAGCAGTTAAGTTCGCATGTTCAGCTTCTCAGCGGCCCGGGGTTCGCCGGTTCAGATCCTGGGTGTGGACAAAGCACTGCTTGGCAAGCCATGCTGTGGTAGGAGTCCCACATATAAAGTAGAGGAAGATGGGCACGGATGTTAGCTCAGGGCCAGTCTTCCTCAGCAAAATGAGGAGGATTGGCAGCGGATGTTAGCTCAGGGCTAATCTTCCTCAAAATAAATAAATAAATAAAGTCGAGACATGCCCCATAATTCGTAAGACTCCCCATTCTCTTTCCTACTTTATAATTCTCCACAGCACTTATCTTCCAAATACTAGATTGCACAATGTTTAAATTGCCACACCAGAACACGAGCTCCAGGCATTATCTTTCTTCTACCACCGCCTTCTAAGCACCGGCACTTGGCAGGGCCCCCTTCAATACCTGTCAACTGAGAGTCTGAACTGAGGGCTGGGTGGAGAGAGGTCCCTCTGAGCCCAGGTCTCAAGGGCACGTACCTTCAGCCCCTGGGAGCTCCTTCCCATCGGCCTGGGCCTCATCTGCCTTAGCGTCGGTGCCATCGCCGGGCACAGCCGAGTTGGGCTCCGGGGCAGGGCTTGAGTTGCTGCTGTTCTCCTGTTTGATGGGGGAGGCATCTGCTATGGAGCTCTGGTTGCTGTTATCATCTGCATGGGGGAAGCAGAACCACAGGGTGAATCCCACAGCTGCTGAGGAAAGGCAGGTCGGGGGGCTCAGCTTCTCCACACCTTATCACCTGCAGCCCCACAGGATGCTCTCCCAGGAAAGGAGATGCTTCCTCCTCCTGAGACCTCTGAGCTGGCCTGTCCTGCCCAGCAAAGGGCTCTGGGAGCTGGGCCTGACCTTCCCCACTGGCTCACTGAGGAGAATCCTGTCTGGAGGCCGCCGGCTGCAGACATGGCCTAGCACATTTTAAATCTCTAGGGGACATTTGAGATCTCATCTTGGGTAAAGAAACCAGACATCCAGTGCACCTTGCTCTGAAGTAATACAAAGGCCAAAGCATGGTCCACGACACACTGCCAGAATGTTCCTCTGATCTCGTCAAGCCTGGATCAACTTCCACTCAATACAAAATAAAGGGGAGAAAACAAGGGAACAACACAAAGTGGGATGCTCCAGAGGACCATGGGCCCAGCTCCCCAACAAGTCAATACCATTTAAAAAAACAAAGAAGCAGCAGGGAAGATTACTGTAGATTAAGGAAACTTAAGGGAGCTAACAGCTAAACACAATGAGAGAAAATTATTTGGATCCTGTTTTGAATGTGCCAGCTGCAAGAGATGTTTTGGGACAATTGGAGAATCTGAATATAGTCTGAGTTTAAAAGGTATTAGGGAATTATTGTTAATTTTGTTAGGAGTGGTCATGGTACAGTGGGTCTATAGAAATGCCATTTATTAGTGGCGCATGCTCAAGTGTTAGGTTCAGACTAAAATATCACGGTGCGAGGAAATTCACCTTAAAATGCTTTAGCACAGGTTGCATACAGTTGTCAGAATTCCCCGAATTTTATACTGAAGAGCTGTGCATTTTTTATATGTAAACTGTATCTCGATTAAAAAACACAGTTTAAAAAATAGCTGAGGCAAATATGGCATCGTGTCGCCGGAAGCCTAGGTGGTCGGTGTATGGGGTTCATTATACTACTCTCTCTACTGTTCTGTTATGAAATTTTTCATAATGAAAAGAAAAAAGGGAAGAAAGTTAATCAAGCGATGACATTAGTGGTTGAGCTGGTGACAGAGCTGGGGGTGCCGGGGCACATACTCCCTTGCCCGGGATCCCCTTTTTTGGGCAGAGAGAGACATTTTACTGCAGATACCCACGTGGTAATTTTAAAAATATTCCTACAACCTTACGCTGCTTTTCTGGGCCATGCTGTGCACCTGGGACCACGGCCATTTTTGTGAGGGAGAGAGACGGAGGGGGGGCGCACATCAACGCATCCTGGGCGTCCGTTGTGTGCCGGGCACCGAGAGCATTTAGTCACCTCGCTTAATCCTCCCAACAACCCACCGGGCAGGTGCTGTTACCGCCTCATTTGACAGGGAGGGAAGCCGAGGCTGAGAGCGGCAGAGCCCCTTGCTCAGGCCGGTCTGCCCAAACCCCGAGTCTTTCTTCTACCTCAACCTGCCGAGGAAGCACCAGGCAGGCAAGCAGCCCCCACTGGGTAAACGGCATCTTACTGTAAGCGTACTCTGGGGCACTTGTTACACAAAAGCATCCTCTTGTGAATTCTGGGACCTAAAAAAAAAAAGTACACTCTCCTGATTTACCTTTCGAGAAAATCTAAACTTCCTTGCTACGCCAAGATATGTGTGCACGTGTGCAAGCAGCACAGAAGGCAGAGGCCCGACCCATGGGTCCCAGCACAAGGGTTTGTTAATTAATGACAGTAAGTGCTAATGTTTAGCAAGTTAGCTGCCTGAGCCTAGCCTGGTGACCTGGTAACAGCGTGACCCTGACACTTGGGCTAACCTCGGTCGAATCTTGGAGACTTAGGCACTGGACGCAGAGGTCTTCGCCCTTCCCCCCCCCATGCCGGTCCTCCTTGCTGAGGCCTCCCAGATGACTCTAGCCAGGCCCGCGTCTTTCCCTGTGCTTTCACTGTACATGCCCTGTGGTCAGACTTGGTCTTGGCTGCACATGTACTAAAACGGAAATGACACTGAGAAGGTAAGCGTGGCTCCTGCACTGGGAACCTGGTTTGCTCAGCATTCCAGATTTTTCTGAAGTGTTAGTCTGGGCTAATGGTCACAAACTTGGATTCTGCCTCCAAAGGACCTCAAATGGCAGGACTGACATTTATGAACTTCCTAAGCCTGGTGGTCTAGCGGTTAAGATCCACTGCTCTCACCACCGCAGCCTGGGTTCATGTCCCGGTCAGGGAGCCACACCACCCTTCTGTTGGTTGTCATACGGTGGCGGCTGTATGTTGCTGTGATGCTGAAATCTATGCCACCGGGATTTCAAATACCAGCAGGGTCACCCATGGTGGACAAGTTTCAGCGGAGCTTCCAGACTAAGACAGTCGAGGAGGAAAGGCCTGGCCACCCACTTTTGAAAAAACTGGCCAAGAAAACCCTGTGAACAGCAGCAGAGCACTGTCTGGTATGGCACTGGAAGGGGAGAGGATGGTGCAAAACGACCAGGCAGGGCTCTGCTCCGCTGACACAGGGGGTTGCTAGGAGTTGGAATCAACTCAATGGCACTAACAAGAAAAAAACCTCTGGGCAAGTGACTTCACCTCTCTGAACTGTAGTTTCTTCTTCTGTACGATCCGGCTCATTATTAGGATTAAATGAGGTAAGGCATGAAATGCGTTTAGCAAGACGCTTGGCACATCACGACAGTTTTTTAAATGTTAGCTGCTAACATGCTAAGGTTTTCAAGGGATTATCTTATATAATACCCACAATAACCTTATGAAATAGGCATTACCATCCCCATTCGACAGATTAAAAACAAATAGACAAACTCGATGGCTAGATGTTCAATAACAAGCCCGGGAGCACACGGCTGGGGGAGATCCCAGGAGAGTCAGATCTGAACTCAGGCGGCATCTTGCCCTCTGCTCTAAAAGGCTCTCATCAATAATTCCATGATTCCACCGAAACTGAGCCAGGTCCAGGGTCCCCTCGGTCTCTAGAGAGAGTGGGGATGCTAACCAATGCCAGGGAGACAGGTCATGTCCCAGCTCCAATACTGATTTCTGAAAATGAAATGCATCCCAACTACGTCTGCAAGGCCAGCTGGGGACCTTTCTTGACACGTTAACCGTCAGCAAGACCCTCCTGGGCTGCGCTGAAGCCAATTCACCAACCAGCAAGACCCCCTGCCCTTGGAGCTGGGACTATGTTTCCAGGCAAGTCCGTCTGGGCAAGCGGAGAAGTTCGCTGGCCTTCCCGCCCCAGAACAAGACAGCCCTGGTTCTGGAGGGCTAGGAACTAGATCAAACCAATACTCCTTCTTGATTTACTTATTTGTTTCCCTCATACCACCTTGCTGTGCAAAAGACTCGGGGCGGCCAAAAGTACAAAGACCTTAAAATTGGCATCAAGAGACAGAAAAAGGCACGTGTTGTAAGCTCTTATGCCAGTGGGCCAGGCAGGTGACTAAAGGAGGTGAGCCAGGTGGGGCTGGAGAGGCCACACCCTCCCTAAGGGACAGCTGCTCCGGCTTCAGCGAGTTGCTGCCTCGAGGGAGCACCCACCCAGGGCTGCCGGCTCTGATTTCTCAAAAGATGGAAAAGATGCAGATTTCCTGATTGATAACTATGAGAAACTCAATTTTTCAGAACCTTCAGGTTTGACTCTCTGAGATTAGAAGTCAGGCGGTAGTTTTCCCTGGAGGGATGGGGATGACCAGCAGGGGACACCAGGGGGATTGCTGGGAACATTCTGTCTTGGTCTGGGCTGGTTACATGCGTGTGGGCTGTTTGTGAACATTTCATGGAGCCATATATTATGATCTGTGCCTATCCTCTCACCTAAAAAGAAAAATGAACACCAGCCATGTCAGAATAACTACAGACTGTCTAAAGCACACCTCCAGCCTGGATTGGACAGGTGGAACACTGGTTACAACTTTTTTTTTTTTGAGGAAGATTAGCCCTGAGCTAACTGTTGCCAATCCTCCTCTTTTTGCTGAGGAAGACTGGCCCTGAGCTAACATCCGTGCCCATCTTCCTCTACTTTATACGTGGGAAGCCTACCACAGTGTGGGTTTTGCCAAGCGGTGCCATGTCCACACCAGGGATCTGAACCAGCGAACCCCGGGTCACCAAGAGCGGAATGTGTGAACTTAACCGCTGTGCCACTGGGCTGGCTCCTGGTTACAACTTTTGAGATAAGATAGCAAAGGAAATTAGGCTGTCAATGTGGAAGGCAGGTCCCAAGGTCCCAGAGTGGTTAACATGGTGTCAAAATCCCGTTTGAAGGGGCCGGCTCTGTGGCGTAGTGGTTAAGCATGATGCACTCTACTTTGGTGGCCTGGGTTTGCGGGTTCGGATCCTGGGCATGGACCTACACCACTGAACAGCCATGCTGTGGTAGCGGCCCACATACAAAATAGAGGAGGATGGACACTGATGTTAGCTCAGGGACAATCTTCCTGAAGTGAAAAAAGAGAAAGCTTGGCAACAGATGTTAGCTCAGAGAGAGAATATTCCTCAGGAAAAAACAAAACAAAAACAAAACATCCAGTTTGGAGCTTCCCAGCAGCCAAAGCAAAATAGGAAATGGAAAACAGAGTCATTTATATGCTATGTCAGGCCTAGGAGGGAAAAAGACAAACATGTACACAAAAACAACCTTCCTGGGCACACAAGGTTGAAGGAACATCCGTGAAGTTTGTGTTACTGAGTGAGAAGAAGGTCTTATTTTATATCACCAGCTTATTTTGTTTCTTGGCCTGCTGTATTGGGAAAAGAAGTTTCTTCTCCTCCACTGAGACTTCTCCTTGGCACAGAGGCCTCCTGGTCCTGCCCAGCCCTCCTACCCTTTGCCTGGAATGTGAACAAACCTGCTGGTGAAACAGAAGCACAACTGAGCACTCTGCCATGGCCAGGGGCCTGGCAGGAGAGGGGCCCCCGCCAGGGGAGGGGGCACTCACCGTGCATGTCCATCATCCCTGGGGAGGAGCTGTTCTCCGGAGTGGTCACTTCTGAGCCACACTTCTCATCTTTGCCCTTTTTCTTATTCTTGTTTTTCTAGAGGAGAAAATGGAGCAGAAACCGAGTCACTAAATCACGTGTGTGCACAAGAGTGAGACCCTGGGGAGGGGTATGAATATTTTATTCCGCCAATTCATCTTTGAGGCCCCAAGTCCCCGGAGGGCTCTCCTTGGCCTGCGTTTGAACACATCCCATTAGGGGCTTCACCTGCTTCAGAATCAAAGCGCCCTGCAGAAGGCAGGATTCTGGGGCTGCGCCGGGGGGCTGGCAACAAATGTGCGTTGTTTGTGGGGCCAGCGCCAATGGGCATGCAAATGCCCTCGGTGGCAGGAATTTCCTTGTCCTTGAGGGAGCACATCTGGGGAAAAGGCCATGGTCCCCCGGCCCAGAGCAGGGACAGTGATGCCAGGTGAGGGACGGAAAAGCCAGAGTTCACGCACTCCCACTATCTGCAGGCCCTGGGGGCTGCACTTCTCAAAGCATACGCAGCTGGCTTCCAGTACCACCCTGGAGACGAGAGGTGGCAGTCTCCGGGAGGCCTGAGGGGGAAGCGGGCGCTTTCTGGGTGTGGTTCCATCTTTCCCGAGTGGAATAGAATCGTGTTGGAAACAACCTAACTGTGTCCATCAGTAAGAGACTTGGGAAATCAATTATGGTATGTTCATTCAAGGCAACGCAATGCAACAATTACAGAGAATAAGGCAGCTCTGCATGTCCGGATGTGGAATGTCCTACAAAAATATCAACATATTACAATATTTCAGTATCTCCAAGGTGCATAGAAGGAAGGTGCAGACCATGCGAACGGAAGGTCGACATTAATGGTAAAAAGCAGGATAAAAGAACGTGTATTTGTGCGTGTGTCTGTGGCACCCACTATCGAGAAGGATAAGCCAGCACCGGGTGCCTCCAAGGAAAGGAGCTGGGCGGGGTGGGGTGGTGTGTGTGCAGGGATGGGAAGCAGATTTATGAAAAGATATACAGTAAAAAAGGTAATCTTTGAAGAATATGCAAACCCGTAGAGACAGAAAGTAGGTTGGTGGTTTCTGGGATCTTGGGGATGGGAGAGTGACAGCTAAGAGGTATGAGTTTTCTTTCTGAGGTAATGAAAACGTTCTGGCATTACAGTGGTGATGGCTATATGCTGTGAATATACTAACACTGACGTGTACACTTTAAAAGAGTGAATTTATGGCATGTGAATTGTCTTAGTTTAAAAAACATTTTTAAAGTAACCTTTGAAAGTTGAACTATGTTTTACCTATTTAAAAGAAGAAAATTTTGGGGCCGGCCCCGTGGCCGAGTGGTTGAGTTCGCGCACTCTGCTTTGGTGGCCCAGGGTTTTGCCGGTTCGAATCCTGGGTGCGGACACGGCACCGCTCATCAGGCCATGCTGAGGCAAAGAAAATTTTCAAAGCGCTGAAGCAAAAAAATGGAGTAACCGTGGCGTAACTGGGTATTTAAAAAAATGGAAAGCTCTGCCTCCACAAAGCAGATTCCTAGCCACAACCACCAGAGATCTGGAGTCAGCTGTCCAGGGCAGGGCCCAGGAACCTGCATTTCTTCAAGACTCCCAGGAGACAGGATGCTCAGCCAGGCATGGGACCCATTGCCCTAGAGGGAAAGGGGGAGGGGGAGACAGCGTATTGTACATCACGGCTCAGAGATGACAGCGAATTAGCATTTTGTGAGCACCGTCTGCAGGGCCGCGCGGGCTGAGTTCTCTCCGTGTGATATATTGCCTTTGCTCGGCTGCAGCAAGCCCAGGAGCCAGATATTACTGCTCCACTGCACAAGGGGGAAGGAAGGCCCAGCAAGTGGGGTCACCTGTCTGACGTCACAGGGTAATAGGGGGTGGTCTGTCCAACTCCAAATCCAGTGCTCTTTGCCCAGCCAGGAGCTGCCCTGTCCTTCCTGACAGCCCGTGGATTACATTTTCTCCTTGATCACAATCCATTTGGCACTTCCCTGATGTCTGTTTCATGCTATTCTATAATTATCTTCCCCCAACGAGATTATAAATTCCTTGAGAGCAGGGACCACATCTTCTCAAATGCAACCGGCGTTTATACAACACCTAATGATGTGCAAGGCACAGACATGGGCAAGAGCCAGGAGCTGCCTTCGAGGAGCCTGGCCCGGCTCGCTCTCCCTCTGGAACAACCAGTACTGACTGCCGTGAGCGTCTGTGTCTCGGAACCTCTGGGGAAAGCAGCCCTGGTGGCTCCACGAGCCAGGCCACAACCGGAAAGGACGACAAATGCCCCTGCTCTGTTCTCAGCCCAGCGCCGACCCACCCAGGGGCGGGTATGTGATCACAGGGTCAAGAATGGATCCTCGGCCCTGCTGGGAAACCAACACAGGCAACTGAAGATGCCTAGCCCTGCCTTTAAGGCCCCTAGAAACCCACCCATCATGACCATGGCAGGACGGGAGCCAGAAGGGGTAGTCTGAGCCATCTTCCCAGAGGAGAGGACTGTTTCCATGAATAGGGAAGGCACTCCAGGCAGGAGGAACAGCCCACAAAGGCCTGGAGGTGGAACCTTCTGGATTTTGACTGGAAACGAGAATAGCTGACCCGGGGTCTTTGCGGGTAACTGGCCTAGGAGGCGTGAAGCTGAAAAACCTCTGCAATGTGGGGCAGCTGCCTATCATCAATCCGCCGTAAGGCCAAGCACGCCCACTGGAGCTCCCTCTAGTGGTTGTCATCAAGACCCTTCCTGGAGCTTCTCGCAGCGGCCCACACTTCCCTGCGCCAAACTCACTCTGGGGTTACCAGTCCTACCAGCAGCTCCGACCACAAGAAGGCTCTCCAAGAGCAGAGAGAGTGTGTTCCTGGAGTCAGACAGACGTGGCAGTGGCTGTGTGACTCGGGAGAAATGGGTTCACCTCTCTGAGCCTGGGTCCTCACTTGTACAGAGAGGATAAAAAGATCAACTCCACAGACTCAGTATGAGAAATAAAGGAGGAAATGCCTGGCAGATGGTCAGGGGCTCAGGAACAGTGCTACAATGATGAGGGTGAGTCTGCTGTCTGTGGGTACTACCACACCTGCCCCCCAACCACAGTGCCCAGGGCCATGGGGAGGGGGCACCTTTGCACTAAGGCATGTCCCCACTGGCCTAAACTGGGTCCTTCCGCTTCCCAGGTGGCCTTGGCCTCAGGGTCCCACCATGGTGGGCGGCAGCGGACAGCCCCCTCTCCCTGTGATGGGAGGGAACACGGATGGACGGCCCCAGCCCAGGGGACCAGCCTTACATACTCACATCATCAACCTTTGGCTCAGTCACAGGGACCCACTTGTAGATTCGCAGGGATGTGTCACCCACAGTCACCCACTTCTTCTCCCTGTGGAGAACGAGGAAGAGCCTGTTACCAGAGGGCTTCTGGGGTAGGACTGTGCTCACCCCTCATGGGACCACAGGTCACACTCCCTTGCAGCAGCTGTGACACATGGCTGCTCCGCATGGAGTTAAGAGAATGAGCTCTGGGTCACACAGACGAGGGCTTGATCCCAGCTCTGCCGCTCACTAGCTGGGGGCTCCTGGGCAAGTCACCTCACCGGTCTAAGCCTCAGTTTCCCCATATGTTAGACCACATAGGATCATCAATCGCTCCGCGCTGCCATGAGGATTACAAGAGACAAGGCATGGCAGACACTTCCCGTGCCTGGAAGCAACTAAGGAACTGCTTGGTAAGACGGGGGGAAGAGAGGGGCTGCCATTAGCGTGATTCCTTGGGATGAAGGGAATCAAGCCCCGGGTCCCTCCAGCTTTCGCCCCACAGAGCCAGTGAACTGGGCAGGAGAGAGGGCTTCAGGCCAGTGGGGGTGGGTAGGGGTCTTCACCAAGGGCACCCAGTGCCTCCCCAGCCCTCGTGGCAATGCCTCTGAGGTTGGGGGAGGGGAAGCAGGACCAGACAGCATGGGTCACCACCCTGTGCTCTTCCCAGCAAACGCCATTTGGAGCAGCCAGGGAGAGCAGGGGCACACCTGGATGCCCAGTGGCCTTGACCCTAAGGGCGGTCCCCAGGCATTGATACCAAGGGACTGTGACAGGGAAGCACAGTCTGGCCGAGAGGATGCTCGGAGACCCGACAGCTCAGTTCTGAGATGGGCATGCATTTCAGAGTCTCAGCTCCTGACACCCACGTCTGCACGGCTGCCCCCAGCCCTCCCCCAGCCACACTGCAAACTCCTGAGGGACAGCGTCCAGGGCCCCCCAGCTGCTAGAGGCAGGTCTACAGGTGAGGAGAAATCACAAGCCATGAGAAGGAAAGAGGGTGACTGGTTTTCATTAAGGATTGTAATTACCCCCCCGTCTGCCCCCCGCTCCGCTCCAAGCCATCCTCCCTCCTCCTAGATCATTGCTGCAGCCTCCACTCCTCCCTGACCTCCCGCAGACCACAAGTCAGGTCATCTCACTGCCTGCCCCTAACACTGGGAGTGACAGCCACAGGCTACACACCAGAGGACACTGAGGCTCAGGGAGAACTCCCTAGAAGGAAAGCTGCGATTCCAACCCAGGCAGTTTGGGCTCTGCAGTCCACGGTGCCTGCACCAGGCTCTGCCATCTGAGAAGTGGGAGGTCAGGAAGGACATGCTCGATGAGGAAACCAGCTGATTCAAGGACCCACAACAGGATGTTGGGAAGGGACACACACCTGGGACAGGTGGCCCAGCCACCAGGAGCCCTCAACAATTTTAGTGACAAGGGTTCCACCAGAACCGAGAATTACATGTGGCATGAACACCTGTTTGTGAGCCACTGGGCACCTTGTCCAGCCTCCCCACCCAGACCTCACCTCGGGTCCTCCCCACTGTGGGTGGGTGGCCCTCACGTGCTGCTGGGACACGTTACAGCCACCTGCACCCCTTTACCATAGGGGGTTCTGGGTGCCCGAGCGCACTCAAAACCAGCTAAAACCACGGACACCTCCTCTCCCCAAACTGCACCTGCTCAGGTCCTACACACTCCCTGCCAGAGGAAGCTGGGGTCTGGCTTTTACTTATTCTTTTGGGACCATTTCTAGTGCCTTCTCCGTGCTAAGCACTGTACACACCGGGTCTAATCCTCCCATAACCTTGTGTAGCAGGAATTGTGACCTCCCCTGTCTGACAGATAAAGAAACTGAGGTCTGGGGAGGTGATGTCATTCTCCCCAGAGCCGTTATTCAAACCCTCCAGGCCACACTGCTTTTTGGAGCAGCCCCTCCCGCCCCATCCCTGCCCCTTTTAGCCCAGGAAGAATTAAGTAAAGGCAGGTATCCAAGCCACGCCCACCCATCCTCTATCTCCAGGAGGCAGGATGGACCAGCTGCAAGCCCAGTCTTTCCCCATCTCCAGTCTGAATAATCGGAAGGTACGTGGAAGGGACAGGGGCTTTCTAAGGAACAAGCTTGGTGACAAGGCAACAATCATAATAGCCATTGTGTGCCAAGGGCTTCCTTCAGGCCAAGTGCTTTATTTACATGCCCTGTCTCCCGAAGATTGCCAACAGGCCCAGAGAGGTTATACCACTAGTTCACAGTCACACAGCTAGGCAATGGCAGAACCAGGATTGGTCACAGGCTCTGACCCCAGAGCCCACCTTCTGCTATTCTGCTTCCTGTGAAAAACTAAGAAATCATTCCACAAAGCACATCGGTAACAAGCTGGACCAAGAAGCACAAATTGCTAGAATCCCACGCAGATGGCCAGGGGCACTCAGTACTCCCAAGCCCTCAACTGGCTTCCTCGGCCTGGGCCCCAGTGGGTCAGCAATTCATGGTTTGATTGTGCTAAAAAAAAAAAAAAAGTAATTGACTTGCAATACACAGGACACCTCTCAGGGCAGAAAGTGTGCCAGATCCAGGCTTTGTAGGCACACGAGCCAAGACGAAGGTTTGAAGTTGCAGGTGCTTCCCAGAGGTTACAAGCCTGCAGGCTGTGAGCTGAATGCAGCAGGTTCTCGTGCTCCCTGTGTCCCAGCTGGGGATCCCCTGGCCTAGGTCCCCAACTCCCCCCAGAGATTAGAAACTGTTCTTCAGTTGCATTTCTAGGCGTGGACATTCAGGGGACTACAGGACAGAGGGAAGAACATCAAGAGCTTGACCTCAGGACTGGACCTCGGGACTGCCGTTCAGCCAGAAGCCGCCCAGGGAGAGGCAAGGCCTGGACCTCAGGTCTAAGTCCCTGAGCCAGCATCTGGAGGACGGGACAGGACTTCACAGACATGTTGAGTGAGCTCCCATGTCTCATCAGGCCAGCGGCATGGCAGCACCTCGGGAAATGACACATGGGCTCAGCTGGGAGTTCCCACTACCGCCCCCAAACCCATCACCCAGAAGGCACTGACCCCCATGAGGGTATTAAGCTGAACTTATTACCTTATATCTGGGTGGCAAATAAGTAGCCAACAGGCATGTTTTGTCCGGCCTGCATGGCACTTTAAAAAATTTTAGTCACTTGCCAAACTTTAAGAAAAAAGAAAAAAAGTCACACTCTGCATAGAAATCCAGATTCCTGGATACTCTCAAAAACAGGATCTGGCCACGGGGGGCCCACACCCCCTGAGGAGCAGTGGCTCTCTCCAGATGGGGCTCTGTGGCTCGCTCAGACGTCCCAGCTCTCACCACGTATAGGCACTGGCCTGGATTCACCACGACCACCAGGCTGCACGCCAACCCTGCCATGAAGACGTCCCTGGGTGCACCCTGAGCCCTCCTGTCCTGCTGGCCACTGGTAACCAGCCGGGCTGAAGCACCTCTCTCTTCTCCATCAGACTTAGCCTCCCGGACAAAAAAACCAAAGGAGGTCCCCGCTGTAGGAACAGAGCCCCAAACACTCTTCCCCAGCACAGGCTCCTATATAAACCATAAGCACCCATCCCAGATTCTCCAAGCCAAGGCCAATTTCTACTGTTCTCCTGGGTCCAGGTCCATGGCTAGCCATGGAGACCATCTTGGGGTTACCCACCATCCAAGGGGACCCTGCTGACTCCCTCGAAGAGGGCTCTGAATCCCTCACTTTGCATTCACTTCCCAGGGCTAATCCTTGACACCTTAGGGACTGGCTATAGCTGGCCTCATTCTAACTAGGCCCAGGCCCACCAAACCTACTGTGTGCCTGGTAGGAGGCACCCCTGGAGGTAGTGAGGTGAGGCCCTAGGCACAAACCTCCATCTCCCCCAGGGACAGGTGGGAAGTCCTCAGGGAACAGGCCTCTCTCTGTCTTCACAAGGTGCTGAGGGACCCTTCAGACCAAGGGCCCAAGGGTCCCCAGCCTAAGCTGACTTCCTGGCTCAAGCCTTTGCCTAGTGCCCAAGGATGCCCCCTCTCCTGCTCTCCGCTGCCCACACTGGGCCTACTGACCCTGGCCCAGTTTCCCAAAAAGAGGTCCACCATTTTGTTCTGCCTTCAGCCATCTCCTGGCTGCCTCACACTCAACCAGGCTGCCTTGCTGAGCCACCAGACAGAAAGGAGAGGAGAAAGGGCTGCTAGCTACAGATGGGGTGGCCACAGCTGGCTGCCAGCTTTTTCCAGGGGTAGGGGAAGGGTAGGGCTGGCAGAGGGGGAATTTTTAGGGGTCCCAGGGGCTGAGGTGAAACACCACCCTAAGCTTACAGGCTGAATGGTACGCCAGACACTTCCATTCTCCTCTGGCTAAAATACAGGATGCTGAAATAAATCTGAATTTCAGATAAACAATGCATATTATTTTAGTATAAGTATGTCCCAACTATGACATGGGACATACTTACGCTATAAAAAAATTTTTAAAAGATTATTTTGTTATTTATCTGAAATTCAAATTCAACTGGGTGTCCTATAATTTTATTTGCTAAATCTGGTAACCCAGTGTCCCAGACAGTGGTGAAATGCATGGTTGGTGGCCACGCAGTTAATAAACAACCCAGAACCTCCAGGTCTGACTGGAAGACGCATTCTAAAGGCACAGTGAAGAGGAGATTTGGCTTCTCGGGGCTGGAGAAACCCAGGCAATAAGGTGAAGTCTTTTTTGCTTAGAAGGGGCCAGAAAAAAAGAAAAAAATCAGCAAAATGCAAGTTTCTCTGAAGCCTACCTTACAATAAGGACGACAGTTAATGACACCTCCTGTGTGCAGGGCTAAGTGCTCTTGGGGACACGATCTTGCTCCAGGAGGGACAAAGCTGCACAGGACCGACCCCCCTTGCTGCCACGGTCAGAGAAGTTCCATGGTTTGCCAAGGTCACAGCAAGGGAGAGAACTGGAAGCCCAGCCATGAGATCCCAAAGCATGAGGTCTTTAGAGGACATGACAGGTTTCCTAAAACACAAGGGAGGGAGAGGGGCGCTCTCCTCTCCTCCCCTCCCGGCAAACACAGGCCTGGTGGGCAGTGGGTTCAGCAGCGCTGAAGGCCTCCAGGCTGGCTGCTCTGGGGCCAGGCAGGGTGGAAAACCCCACAGCTCCATCTGCCCTCCTTGCAGAGCAGCTGGTGGGCCCGCCCTACAGGAGCAGCTGTCAGGGTGCAGGAGCCTCTGCCAGGCTGGGAACCTGGGGCAGAAGGCCCCACCACGCCTCCTGGAACAGAGAAAGGCAGCTTGCCCCCAGCCCGCTTCTCACCTACAGGCCGGGGAAAGAAGGGACTCAGGCACAGACACCAGTTCTTTCTTTGCACAGGCGCTAAGGCAGGGGACAACTCCAGCCTTCCCTCTAGGGATCCCGCAGGAGAGGGGGTTGTGAGCTTGTTTTCCTGTATGTGTTTTGGCCTGCAGCTGTTTCTGCCATTTTTAAATGGCTCCAGTCGGGCACTGGGTGCCCTGCACGCCAGGGGAGCTCCCACGGCTCCGAAGACTTGCATCTCAACTTTGGAAGGCCTCCCCTTCTCACGGTTCTGAAAATTCTTTGTCCCATTGGAGCCAAACCCAGCCCTCGGCCGGGCATCCGGCCATCTGCAGACAGCCCTTTCCATAGGAGGCCCGGGAGCACGTGGACTTTATTGATTTTCCTCTCGCCTTTTTTGTTGGGTTTGACTCAGAAAGGACAGCTAACTTGTGACACGGTTAGACTGGAGGCTCGCCCCCAGTGGTTTTTAGAGACCAAGGCGTTACTCAAGAATTGACACCCCTACACAGAAACGTACCCGCTAAGGGGCCGGCCCAGTTTTTAGGCTCTAAATAAAGGGTCAGGACGAGCCCGCGGGCGCTGACACTCGAGAGCGTCGCGGCTGCTCCCTCTCTCCCCGACCCTGGAGAAGCCGTGGGAAAAAAATAATAAAGTTGAAATCGGGGAGCTGGGAGTTTTCAACAAGTCTGCCCCAACCCAGCGATGTGCTCGCGCCTCGGGCCTGGCCCCCGGGCCGACCCGGCGCCCGACCCCGCCGAGGCCGCGCGAACGCTCAGTCGTGCTAATGACAAGGCCACGCGGGGCAGACCCCAACCGAGCAGGAGCCACGCGCGGCCGGCCTCGGGCCCCCTGCCCCCGGGCCGAGAACAAAAACAACGGCTCTCTCCGCCAACAAACACGAGCTGCGGGTCTGGGGAAGGCAGACGCGGCCCAGGACCGGTTTTTGGCCAAAAATGCTCGCTCGCCCGAGCCCCCGCGTCCCCGCGCGCGGCGCCCGGCAGAGCGGGGTGGAGGGTGCCCGGCGCCCCGGGCCCGCGGCCGCCGCCGGCGCTTCCTCCCCGCGCTCGCCCCCATCTTTCTTCCTCGCCGAGAGCCCTCGCTCCAGGCAGCCCAAAGCGCTAAATTTAAACGGCTCGCGCTCTGCAAACTCCGCAGACTCGAGGGCGCCGGGCCTGGGAGGCGGGGAGCGAGCGAGCGGGCGAGCCAGCGCGGAGGGAGGGAGCGAGGGAGGCCGGCGCGGGCAAGGGCGCGGGGGCCGGCGCTGCGCCGCCCGGGGCGCGCGGGGAGGAGACGGCGACGGCGGCGGCCCGCTCGGTGCCTGCACAATGGAGCTCGCGCTCTCCCCTCCGCCGCCGGCATCACGGCCCCGGCGCGCGGGAAGCCGCTTTCATGTGACTTGCACAAAACGAAATGGCTTCTGGGGCCGGCCCCGAGCCCCCCTCCCGGGAGGCGCGCGCCGCGGCGGGGACTGCCCGCCATCCACCGCCCGGCCCGGGGCGCCCGCCGCCTGCAGGCTCCGCCGCCGCCGCGCCAGGTGGGCGACAGGCGCGAGCGCACCTGGGCAGCGGCCGCGGCCCCCGCCTGGCGCAGGTGACCGGGCTCGCGCGCCGCCCGCCCTCTCCAACTCCCGGGCCCGGGGCGGCCCGGGGCGCTGCGCCCCGCCGGCTTTTTGTATCGGGGCTCGGGGTTCGGGGCGGCCGCGGCGCCGGCGAGGGAGCGAGCGAGGAGGCGCCTCCGCTTACCATTTGCGCACTTTCTCGATAGCCGCCATGACCCTCTTGATATCATCTTTGGCGCGGCTCCTGGTCTCGGCTCGAACCGACCTGCCCGACATGGTTCTGGCGGGGAGAGAGAGGCTGGGGAGCGCGCCCGCCGGGTCCTGCTCGCGCTCCGCGGCGGCCACACTCGCGCCCGCCCGCTCACTCACTCACACACACAGACACTCACACACACACACTCACACACACATACACACACAAAGCCTGGTGCCGCCGCGCGCCCGGGGCCCAGTGCGCAAGCGCCGGGCGGCAGCTGCACCGAGCAGGGGGAGCAGCGCCGCCGCGGCCGCCAGCAGTGCGGCCTCCGGGCGCCGCCGCCGCCGGGCAGTCCGCGAGTCTCCTCGCCGCCCGGGGAGGCGCCGCGACCCCGGCCCCGGGGAGGCGGCGAGGGGCGGCCGCCGACGCCCTGCTCCGGGCCCGCGGAGGGGGAGGCGGGCGGGCGGGCGGACGTGCGCGCAGACACTCTCTCGGAGGCCGCAGGTGCCGTGGGGTCCCCCGGGGAGGGCGGGCCCGCGGGGCGGCCGGCCGTGGAGGGGGCGCATGCCGCGGGAGCCGGCTCGGCTGCCCGGCCGCTGGCCCGGGTTGGTGGCGGCGGGTGCAATAATGCAAGTTTCCTGTGGGGCTACTGACTTCTCAGAGTTGCAGGCGGCGATTCGGGACGCGAGGTGCTCTTGGAAAGAGTTGAGAGACGCGGATCCCTGCTGGCCCGACGCCCTGTTCAAATAGGCGAGCTAGGATGTCGCTCCCCTTTCCTTCGTCCTTTAGGAAAACTCGGGCCGGAGGAAAGGTGCGCGGGTGAGGCGGACCACGAGAGACATTCGACCTTGCTCGTTCGGAAGCTTTTGGCGCAGGAAAAGCTCAGTGATCATGAGCGTTTCAGCAGGGGCTCTTCCCTCCCCCCCCCCGCCCCGCCCCCGGAGACAAGTTGCCCTCACCATAAATGAGGTGAGGGGCCCACGTCGGGGTTTGTGTCAGAGACCCACGGCTTAAATTTAAGCCGTTTCTGACTGAAGTCCCAGGCTCAGACCAGGTGCTGCCACCGCGCAATGACCCCAGCGGGTAAAATGGACCGGCCCGTCTACAAGGGGGACTTGTGAGGTTTCTTCTTCCCCATCTTGCCTCAGGACAGTTCCGGAAGGAATCAACTACTGCCGTCAGGATAACGCAGGTGCCGTATCTTCGTGTTGGCTGCAGCTAAACAGATTTGAGCAGAACTTATGCTGTGATTTCCCCAGATGGATGCAGGGGAAAGCCCAGTGCTTTGGAGATAAACTAGCCCAACACCCGTCATTTTACGCGTGGGGAAACTGAGTCCCGGGGAAGTTCAAGGTCACAGCCATAGGCTAGATCTCTGAATCCCACTCATTCTAGAACCAAGCAGTTTCCCCTGAGGTTTTAGTTTTGGGGAAAAGAGCTACTGGGGAAATGGAGTACCTAATGTGAAAAATGAAGACAAGAACGCTTACCTCAAAGAATCATTCTAAGGGTTATATGGGAAAATATATAACAGCAGGTCATAAAACAGAGGTCTCACACTGTCGGCCCTTTGACTGTATCTGGCCAGCAGCTATTTGCTTAGGGCCACACAGAACTTTTTAAAATATATATTTGAATTTACAATAGGAAGATATATCAAAAATCCAAATATCGACCAATGAATGGATAAATATATATCTACACAATGGAATATTATTCAGCCATTAAAAAGGAGTGGAGTACAGACACATATCACAACATGGATGAACTCTGAAAACATGCTAAGTGAAAGAAGCAATCACAAAAGGACAAATATTGTATGATTCCACTTACATGAGATATCTAGACCAGGCAAACCCATAGAGACAGAAAACATTGGTGGTCGCCAGGGACAGAGGAGAGGGGATGGTGGAGTGACTGTTAATGGGTATGGGGTTTCCTTTTGGGGTGATGAAAAGATTCTGGAAGTAGATAATGGTGATGGTTGCACAATGTTGCAAATATACTTAATGCCACTGAATTATACACTTTAAAATGGTTACAAGGGTCAATTTTCTGTTATGTGTATTTTGCCACAATAAAAAGAAATCTGAACATCCAGCTTCTCTAGAAAGAGCAGAAGGTCTGCAAACTGGGCCCCCAGAGCCACACGGCGCAATCAGCTGGAGTGGAGGAGCCCGGTGCCCCTCAGACAGAGCTCCCCAGGTCGCCATGTGTCACTCAGTCACTTTACTCCTTTGTGTTACCTGATGGCCCCTGAAGGTATTTGCGGGTTTGATCTCTGATTAAAGTGTAAAACTTTCTACAAATATTCTTTGTAAATCTGGTACGTCACTTTTGATAGTTTCCTGTCCCCTGTAGATATTTTTTAACTTCTTACTTTCAGCAAAGCACAACGGTGTTAAAGTCTGTGTCTGATAGTCCAATATCTGAGGTTTCCAAGGGTCTGTTTTGCTGGTTCTTGATCATGGTGTTCTGTTTCCTTGTGATCTGCTGGTTTTCTTTGACCATTCTGGACGTTGTATCTTCAAATGTATTTATAGGGATGATTTGAGGCCTGGGATGAAGTTACCTTCCTTTAGAGATGCTGTACATCTGCTTCTGCCAGCTCCCGAGGCCACTGCTGGCCCAGGACGACCTGCATCCAAGTTCAGGGCTCGTGGTTCCCGGAACCACCCAGCTGATGCAAATATGGGCTGCCCAAGTGGGCAAGACTGGTTTGCTTATTGTGTCCTGAGGGTGGGGTCAGTGTGTGGGGCAGCTGGCTGACAGGCCTGCGCTTCCCAACTCTGTGTTCAGTGACCTCACGTCTGAAAGCAGCCATGGCAAGAGTATTGATACTATGGAAATTGGCAAATGCCATCTATACATCAGGACCCTTCCCCCAACCCCACCCAGAGCTGGTTGGTAAGCATTTACCAGCATACCACAGGTGGAACCTGATAGGGTCCCAAATAATTGTGTGCAAGGTCTCATGTCCCACCGAGTATGGCCCCTGGACTTTGATTTCTGGCCTTTTCCCTCGAAAAAAACCATTCACACTGAAGTTCAAATATGCTAGGCTTGGCAGTTATCTGCAGGGTTCAAGTGGCTTCCTTGCCGGATTATCTTTCAGGGTTCTCTCTTTGCTTCAGTTTCGGCTATTCCTTATCATCTTATCAGCATGTAGTGGCTTTTAGGATGTTTTTAATTACTTTTTCTAGCATTTTTAGTTGCTTTCAGCTTGAGAGTTTATCTGAATAACTAATTACCAGAAACTGGAAGTCAAGCTCTCTCTGAATGTTGGTGGTTACTCTAGATGTGTTAAAAGAGTGATCCCAGGGTTACAGAAGGGAGTTACTCAGTTATGCTTGTGGCTTAACCTCTCTGTGCCTCATCTGTGAAATGGGGATAACAGAACACCTGCCTCAGAGTTGTTATGAGAATTAAAGACAATACTCGTCGAGCTCTTAGAACAGTGCCTGGCACAAGGCGAATGCTGGATACTGGAAAGGATTTGTTACATAAAGGACTTGTATGATCCTTTCATCATTAGGCTCCCCCCAGGGACTGAAGTCAAACCGCTCCTCTTTCCTGGGTTGCTAAATTCAAGCCTTAATCCACTGCTCCTGTTACACGCTCCTCCAGGGTGAAGGCTCATTCACCACCGGGATGGGGGATGGGGTGCATGGGGGCGGTTTCTGTCTCTGGAACGGAGATGCGTAATTGTGAGGAAAATGCAGGCCCGGCTCCAGCGCCTCTCGGAGCCTTGGTCCTCACCTAGCAACTTGCAGCAGTGGCAGCAGCATGCTGTTTTCATAGACAGGTGCTTTGGTGTTTGGGGAGCAGGCCATCAGCAAGGCCCAGCAAAAGGGGAACTCTTTGAAGAGAATGCTCCAACCACAGAACGAACTATAGTCCCTTCCTCGGGGACAGGAGCAGAAAAGGTGTGCTGGGCCAGCCCTGGAGGCCTAATGGGTAAGTTTGGCGTGCTCCCCTTCAGTGGCCCAGCTTTGGTTCCCTGGCACGGACCTACACCACTCATCGGCGGCCATGCTGTGGCAGCAGCCCACATACAAAAAGAGGAAGATTGGCAACAGATGTTAGCTCAGGGCCAATCTTCCTCAGCAAAAAAAAAGAGTGAGAGAGAGAGAGTGTGCTGCAGAGGATGAAATCTGCCCCCTTTCTCAGAAAAGGATGCTAAAATCCAGTAGTCACATAGCCAGTTAGCAGAGTTCTGGCCAGAACTCCACTGTCCCGATGGCAGTCTCTGGGCTTCCTCACTCCACATTCATCACAATGTTGATAGTTGGACATCAGCCATGGTGGGAGTATTGACACTATGGAAATCGACAAGTGCTGTCTGTATATCAGGACCCTCCTGTCCCTCCCCCACCCAGAGCTGGTTGGTAAACGTTTACTAGCATACCACTGATGGAGCCCACTGGGATCCCAAGTTATCGTGGGGAAGGCCTTCCCCGCAGTGTGGGCCTTATGATGAGTTTCAGATAGACTGGGGAGACCTGGAAAACAAAATGTTTTTTTTTTTATAAACCAAACAGGGCAATCTGCCTCTCTGCGTACTTTTCTTGCCTATAACCACAACTATAAAATTGTCACTAGCTCAGATACTAGTGGATTGACAATTTGCATATCCATCCATGCAGCCATTGGTTTGCCTAAGAGTTGGGCTACTTGAAAATAAAAAGATAGTAGATATAAAGTGCTTTGAAAGACTAATGTGTTCAAAGGTGAGACAATGTAATCCAGACGCTCCTTTAACAATGAATGATGAAATGCAGACTGTCTGGTCATGACCCAGTGACTTGGAGCAAAGTTGGAATCCATCCACACACAGGCTTGCTGCATCCTTAGGGCAGGAATCTAGGAGGCTGCCCAGTGTCTTCTCCCTCACTGCCACTGTGCGGTCATTTTGGCTGCCCAGCATCTGGATATCCTTCCTAGTCTGGGGTGAGCCTTTGGGGTGGAGGCTGCCCCATGACCACAGAAGCTGAAGGGGGCCCATCTCTCTCTTCACCCCAGGAGACTTAGATCCCGGGTGTGGACGTAACTTAGCCAATTGGTGGAGGGTCTAGCCACTGATTTTTTTCAATAATAGCTTTGCTGAAATATAATCAACATACCATAAAATTCACCCTTTTCAAGTGGTTTTTAGTATATTCAGAGTCAGTTGTGAAACCATCACCGCAATCAATTGTAGAACATTTTTGTCATCCAAAAAAGAAACCTTTACCCATTAGCAGTCACTCTCCCCCTCCCCCCCAGCCCCAGCCCTGGGCAACCACAAAT